CCTACCTCACTTTTTATTTGTTGGCTTCCTATGTGCCATGCAGTCACAGGTATTTTTAAATGTATTAATTGATGTGTTGTTCACAACAGCAGAACGAGCTTTTTCTTCCACACGGCCTCTTTTTACAGATTAGAAAACTGAGACACAAAGATGGTAAATGGTTCACTCAAGATGAACCGTCCAATAAGTGGGTGGAGCCATGATTTGAACTCAGTTATTCTGATTCCAACAAGTTCCGTCTGCCACACTTCAAAGTGTTTGCTCCAATGAGTTGAATAAACCACGGAGTCCTTAAAAGTGAACATGCAGCCTTATAAAACATGAGGATGATTTCTAAGTACCGAAATAAAGTGTCCTTCATGGTATACGGTTAAGTTAAAAAAAAAAAAAAAAAGAAGCAGAGTAAAGGAGGGGAAATAAGAATATATATACATATTTACTTGTTTTTGCTTTAAAAAAAACAACTCTGAAAGGTTAAACTAGATGCTAAAAAAAAACTGTAAAGGGATAATGGGATAGGGATGGAAGTAAAACCTTTCTTTTATAGTGAGACTTTCAACTCATGTGTATGTTTTACATATTTTAAAAAAAGAAAAAAGTAAACTTAAAAATCGAAAGCTTAGCTTACTTGGGAGTGCATGATGCTGATAACACCAAGGTCAAGGGTTTGGATCCCCTTACCAGCCAGAGGCCAAGAAAAAAAAAATCAAAAATTGAAATCATACTAAAACCAGTACGTCTAACTGTACATTAAATTGGTAACAGAAAATCACAGAAAAAAGTGACTTTTGAACACAGTTCTCTGTATATTTTTACTGCAATATCTTCCAAAGACAAAAAATCTGCAAAGAAAATTTAAGCTTTTATGTAAGAAAGGATAGAAAATAATAGAAAGACATAAAGTCGATTCTTATTAATTATGATAGTTATGTTCCATGAAGTAGTCACCAACAATAAGTTAGTGAATAGTGAATACTGAACCACTGCTGGTAAGAGAAATATTGGGTTAGGTTCCCGTGAGCCGCTAGTCACAACATTTCATCAACTGATCAATACATCACTTTGTTTTATACATGTTTCCAATTAAAGACATTTTTAATATATGGATTCATTAATATTGAATTCAGGGGCAACATCACTACAAGTAAAAGTCATGCTGGAAGGAATCTTACCTATTACGTGTATTTTTTCCAGAAGGCACACCACAACCTTCCTGTGCCTTAAAACAATAGACAACACTTCAGCACTATGCTTGGAGGCCAATTTAAACAAAATCACCAACAAAAATGCAGAAAACATGGCACTAAATACCCCACGAAAGGTACGCTTGTTTATAGTATGACATGAAACAAGAAGGCAGTGTCACCTTGTTCAGCCTCAGCTGGGAATGTGCATGATAGGCAACACAATTTTTTGCTGCTCTGCACATGTCCTCAAATGACCATGAAAGCCCCCAGTATTGATCTGGGAGTTACAAATAAATTTTAGTGAATAGATGAATTCTTAAATATGGAATGCACAAATAATGAGGATCAACTGTATTTGCTTAACCACTAGAAGGATAAACAAGGAACAAATGGTTACCTATGCGCAGGAAAGTGGAGGGAATAGGGATATAAAATGCTAAAATTATTAGGTAAAGTGTTTCAGGAACAGGATATTTGCACAGTCCCAAACTAAAGTCAGAGATAAAACACTGACCTTAGTTTTGGACTTGTTGACTTTAAGTTGGATGTGGAGCATATATGTGGAGATGTCCAGGAGGTAGACAGGTATGTAAGTCTGGACTCATTACCAGTTTGTCTTGGAGAGGAAGATATTGGAGTCATTATTGTATAGACAAGTTTGTGGGAGCCCTGGCATGGATAGATTTACTGAAGAGCGTATGCGGAGTGAGAAGACTAGAGGGCCCTGGGAATACAAATATTTCAGTGGAAGAAAGAAGGAAAGAAGATGAGAAGAATCAACCAGAGCAATGGACAACCAGGAAAGAGGCTGGTTTAAGCATGTTTAACAGGGTCAGAGACTTTGGAGAAATCAAGTAAGATGAGGACTGAGAACTTACCATTGGATTGGGCAATTAAAAGGACCTTAATGAAACACAATGACGTACCAGTTTACTTTCACTAGAATGGATAAAAAGACTGAAACCACCAAATATGGATAAGGATACAGAAAAACTAGAATGGTTAAAACATTGCTGACATGAGTAAAAATGGGAAAATGTTTGGTAGTTTCTTATTATACCTAAATGTTATAAGGTAGAAATACATATATGTGTGTGTGTGTATATATATGTATGTACTACATGACCCAGACATTTTACTTCTAAGAATTTACCCAAGAAAATTAAAATATATATCCACAAAGTGACTTACATGAGTAAAGACAAACAGTGGAAAGACCCCAAGTTTCCATTATTAAGTGAATGGATAAACAAATTGTGTATATTCAGTGATACGCTTCTCAGAAACAAAAAGGAACACAATCTACCGATACATGTTGAAACAACATAGATGAAATTAATATACATTATATTAGTGAAAGAAACCAGATACAAGAGTACATGCCAAGAGATTTAATTCATATAAAATTCAAGATAGACAAAACCAATCTATGGCAATAGAAATCAGAAAAGTGGTTATTTGGGGGTAGGGAGATGGAATTGATGGAAAGGAGTACAAAGGAATATTCTGGTCAGTGTTTCATCTCTGCTAAGAATAGCACCACTATCTTCCAGGGCCCAAGTCAAAAAATTGAAATCACCTTGATTTCATCTCCTCTCTTTCTCCACAAGACAAATCTGATAAAAGCTATGGATCCTTTCCTCTTTGAAAACTAGGTAAGAGCTACAGATCTCCTCTTCGAGGAAAAAAAAAAAAAAAAGTGGGAGAGCACACACATACATTTTACTTATAGGTTCTAAAGCCTTTCTATGGAGTTCAGAGTATATCTTGTTGATTCTGTCTCCTTAACATTCGTATATCCATCTGTTACCTTCATCTCTATAGTTATAGCCTTTGGTTCAGAATTTCATCTTCTTTAGATGAATATGTTTTCGGATGAATATATACCATAATACATTCAGTCCAAGGGACTTAGTAAGCACCTAATAATGGGCAGGTGCTGTGCTTGATGCTATGGCTATATCACTGAACAAGAAACACAATATCTCTGTTCTCATGGAGCTTAAAATACATCAAGGAATATAATAACTATAGGTACCATAAGTGTGTTATAAAGTTTAGGGTGCTATGAGGGCATATAACAAGTGGATCTAATTTAGTGAAGATTAAAGAGAACGTGATGGTTAAGCTGAAGAATGAATAGGCATTATCTAGGTAAAGCAAGTCTGATATACATTATAAGAAAAAGGAAGAAAAATTGATATTTAAAATGACACTTGGACTGCTATCTTTAGCAATATGGCAGTCTAGATATTTTTAACAACCCTTGTTCTAAAAATACTAATAAAATTTTCATCAAACATAAAAACCAATGTTAAAAATTTATCAACAGGCTAGCAAAAGAAGTAAAGAATACATGAAGAAAAAAAAAAGCAGGAAAAAATGTATTATTAAAAATGGCAAATCCGAAGGTAAACAAAGCACAAAAATCTAGGCTTTCCCTTGAGATCATTTGCCAAAATACTGAAACTGCATTTATTTTTACACCACCTCCAGGAGTGCAGGCAATAGGAGACAAAGCATAGAGGCTACCCAAGGTATGTAATCTCATAGAAAATCCCTTGCATAAAGCTGAAATTCCAAAGGGCTTCACAGAGAAACTATTTCTAACCTATTAGCAAAATCCCAAGTTTAACAGTCACTGTCATACATTGCTGGTGATGATAAAACTCCTATGAAGGGAAATTCAGCAACATCTAACAAAATTACATATGCATTTATCCTCTGACACAGCAAACCCATTTCTAGAACTCTACCCCAAAGACATATTTGTAAAAATACAAAATAACACAGGTATAACGCTATTCATTGCAGCATTATTTGTGATAGCAAAAAAAGTGGAAATAACCTATAACGCCCATCAATAAGTACTTGATTGAATAAACTATGACAGTACTGTGAAGTACTGTGGAGTACTGTGAAGCTGTAAAAAGGACTGAAGAAGACTGCTGTACACTGATATAGAATGATGTATTGTTAAGTGAAAACAGGAAGTTACAGAATGGTGTATGTAATATGCTTCCTTTTGTGTAAGAAAAGGGGAAAATATTTGTGTGTATGGTTACCTACTTAGAAAGAAACAATGGAGGGCCGGCCAGGTGGCGCACTGGAGAGTGCGCTGCTTGGGAGCGTGGCGGCGCTCCCTTCGAGGGTTCAGATCCAATGTGGAGACCGGTTCCCGCTCACTGGCTGAGCGCGGTGCGGATGCAGCACCGAGGGTTGCGATCCCGTTACCGGTCAGTAAAAAAGACAAAAAGGAATAAAAAAAAAAAAAAAGAAAGAAAGAAAGAAACAATGGAAAGTATCACTAAAGTGCACCAGACTTAAGTGCCTTCTAATGTGATGCAGTATTAAGTATGCTTGAAAAAAACTGAACCAGAATCTTAAAGCCTTTAGATGTAGCTTCCAGTCTAAAATAAATATGGGGGATGGATGCACAAGGTAATGAAAAAGCACACTGAAGAAGCAATCAGAAAAACTCAGAATGTGGGACAGCTATAGGAAAATAAGAATATTAACCCATTTAACAAATCAATGGCATAAGACAGAAGAAAGAGAAACTATTCTAGATTAACAAAGACATTTTTTAAAAAAACCTTAAACCAAATACAGTGCTGGACAAACCAACCATAGAAAGACATTTTGAGAGAATCAAGGAATCTGTGGCTATGCACTGAATACCGCGTGAGGCTGTGCACCCCAAACAACACAACCCCAGGTGAATGCCTGCGCGTGGCACCCTCCGGCGAGGCCTAGGCCCTTTCTCACTGCTAAGGGCCAAAGCATCCCCCGCTGGCCACGTCGCCCTTGGCTCGGCTCCTCGAGCGGGCGGCGGGATGGCGCAGACGCACTGGTTCCGCCTTCCCACCAATCTCGACCCTCGGCGAGTTCCGTTCGTGCGTGGAAGAGTCGAGACGGGAAGAGAGGCCGCGCGGTGGGCTCGGGCTGAGGCGCGCGGAGCGGTGGGCCGGCGACCGCGGCGATGGCCGACTCGCAGCTGTTCTGCGTGGCGGAGGAGCGCAGCGGCCACTGCGCCGTGGTGGACGGAAACTTCCTCTACGTGTGGGGGGGCTACGTGGTAAGGGGAAGAGGCGGGACGGGGCGGACTCGGCCCGAGCGGACGCC